TTCAGATTTTCAGTTCTAAATAACTATTTTAATATTAACAGATCATAATATCTATATATTCCCCCTTAATTGGAAATATATACTTATCAACCTAATTAGATATCAGTCATAGATAAAATATATACGATAAAGATACTCTCATGTCCTCACCCTCGTTGCGCCCGCATCATCGCCCTTCCTGTCGGCCTGCTGCCACAAGAGACCCTCTCGCTCTGCCCTTGTTGAAGGAAGAGGAAGAGGAAGAAGATTTGGAGTGTGGTGGCAGCCAAGGCGCGGTACGGAGCGACGCTGGTAGGGCCGGTAGTATTGGTCGTCCTCGATCCTATTACACAGATTCGGTACCTCTGGTCAGCACAGTCTCTAGTGTGGCCCTTGAGGGCACCCCAGAGAGCTCTACCGGCAGGAGTTGGCATCAGCAGGAACGATCCTATTCGACAACGTCTCCCTTTATGCCCACTAGGGCGCCGCCTTCACGATCGGCTACCGCTCTCACGGGGAATCCTGTGCCTCAAGTACTACTACAACCTATAGAGCGATTTAGAGTGGTGTAATTCAACACCCGATTTCCTACTGTTGGTAGGCCCCTAGTCCGGAGCTCAGTAGCAACCCTGGCACCAACACTGCTCGGCCACAGCTCCGACATCAGCAGACTTTCCCTCTGCCTTGTGCAGCTCATATACCTTCAGAAGTATCTTCACTAAAAACTACACCTATCCCCGTCTGCCCTGTAGTGGTGGAAGGCGCTGAGTGAGCCGTTCGCTACCTTGGTGGAATTTCCAATTATGATCTTTCAACGCAGTTTGGGGATATATGTGTGGTTTCCTCAACTGAGCTTGGAAGCCTCCTCACTATATTATGGCAATCTACTTACGATTTTGGGTAGAAGTGTACAAAAACCAACGAGAATTTTCCAAAATTTCCTCAAAATTTTTGTCAACACTGTAGTGTCATAATTGCATTTGAGTGCCTCTCTATTGGTGTTGTCCCCGGGCCCAGGACGATGATGCTGTTGGTTCGATCAGGACAGGCCCGACTCAGCGAAGCATAGAGAGGAGGAACCTCAAGCTCTTCGTACAGGGGGACCGACGTAGTTTAATATCAGCTCGAGGAAATCTTAATGTCCATCGTCTGATACCATACATAACTAAAGTAGTTTGAAATGAAGGGTGCAGGATGCCGGAATCGAACCCGGGACGGGTGGTGGATAACGCTGCCGCGCTCAGGTTTACCTGAATTGGCTCTATGATACTTTCCCTTCCATCATCCGGCTGAAGTGGCACACCATTTTCTTTCTTGTTATTATTATGTAGGATGCCGCCACCGGGGTTCGAACCGGAGATCTTCCTTGCTAGATACATCATCGTCATATTGCTGTACGCCATCTGTTTCTGGTCATTCGATAGTAATTTTGTCTGCACTAATCACGTGCATGACTTTGGTGACTACTACTTCTTCGTCGTAAGGCCCTTTCTAGGGTCACCCTAGGGTCACCCTTGCCCTCAGGTCCAAACTCTGTTCACGATCGGCTACGGTGGAAAGGAGCCACTCTGTTTCGTCACCAATGTTGGAGTTACTATAATATCGATTCTAGGCCTACTGCAGCATACAGCTCTAACGGGGATCGTCTTTGCCAAATTCACATTGGACAGTAGCAGCCCCTTTTCCCTCGACTGGTGCCCCTTAGGGTTTCCCCTCAGGCTCTCGCGACCTGGCCTGTGCTTTCTCGACTCGTCTTTTTGCCATACCACCTTGTGAAGATTCTTTTACTGCTCTTGGAGGGTGAGCATCGCTCCGCTCTTAGCAAGTGTATCATTTTTGTTGTTATTAGAATCGATTCAACTCACTCGCAATCGGCGGCCCACAGCGTTGCAGGGGACAGTGAACACGTCAGACTGTGCTTTAGATTCGTCAATGTACTATGATGGAAAATATGCACATGGTCAACTACATGTGTTGGTGACAATATGAAAATTCTGAGGAAATTTTCGGGAGTTTCTGTAAATTTTTCTACCCGGGAGAAAACTCCTGAGCTCAGCTGAGGAAAGTGAACATATGCTCCTACTCCAGCGCTGAGGCTGAGAACAACAACGTTTGGGCTACAGTTTGTTTTCTTTTCTCAGGAGGGTGGCGGGACGGAATTATATAGTTAGTCGCTAGCAGTCACCAATATCCACAGAGTGCGAAAATATGCACAAGCTCAACTACATATGTCGGCGACAATATGAAAATTCTGAGGAAATTTTGGAAAATTTTCGTTTGTGTGTTCACATTCCTACCCAAATTCGTATGGGTTAGAAACTCCTGAGCTCAGCTGAGGGAAGTGAACAAATATTTTAACTCTGTGAGTCCACGCTCTGAAGGAGCTCCAAACGAGGGCAGCCTCGTTCTTTCGTGTAGTGTCACCAAGGCAGTGCGGGAAAGTATGCGCATCGTCAACTACATATGTCGGTGACAACATGAAAATTCTGAGGAAATTCTGCGAAGTTATCATTGGTTTTTGTATATTTCTGCCAGGTCTCGTATATGAGCTGATTTATTTTATGAGGAAACTCCCAAGTGAGGAAAGCGAAAATTTATTTCAAAACTGTACTCAGGTTTTCCATCGACACTTCTTCCACGTGTCGATGCGTCTATTCCTGATAGAGCATCACCCGGCCTCAGAGGACAACTGGAGCTGTCCAACAGTGCAGGTGAGGGGAAACTCTTTTTTTATCACAGCATTGAGACGGTGCTGTAGGAGCTGCACTATTTCGACACGTCCATACCGTTGGAATTTATGAGCCTCCCTGTGGAGGTATGTGCCTATATTCCCATTGAACGGTTGCCGCTGCTGAACCAAGCTGATGTTCTTGACGATGATGAGGAGGAAGAGGCTGGTAGAGTTGTATGCCGCATCGGTGTTGGAATTGGGAGTTTATATATGAATTTATACAGAAACCAATGAGAATTTCCGTAAATTTCATATCGTAGACCGCGCATGCAGTTGACCATGTGCATATCCCCATCCATACTGTGGTCAGGTACTCCCGGTGGCCGCAGCGTTGTATCAGGAGCCATCGCTGAGGGGCCTACAAGCACTTCCACTGTTGGTCAGCATTTCTGGGTCCGCCACTTCAGTGAACAGTAAGTGTGGTAATTGGTATATGATCGGCTCCTTCTGCTCAACAGTTATAAGGTGGCGAGGCAGATGAGTGGAGCCCCACCGATGGCCCTCCCGCATACGATGCCCGTTGCCCCCAATATTTGGCCCAGTACTACCACACCAAGGTCTGCTCATGGCGATGACCCCATAACGCCACAGTAGGAGTCTGGCCTCAGTCTCCCTTTCTCTTCTCCAATGGTTGCTTGTATGGAGTGTCGTAGTAGGCGAGGAGTAGCGACTCCTCGACGGTCGTACGCCGCCTCATCTGTTCGATCATCGTGCTTGAAGACAGTGCCCAGTAGCTTTGAACTGGTCTGCACGCTTGAGTTCACTGATGCTACTACTGGTGACCCCACGGGCTCCCTATGGGAGATGGCAGCCTATGCTGCCTCTATGATTAGGTCATGAGATCAGTGCGAAGAAGTCCTGGCCGTTGACAGACGTGACGTGGCTACCACCAGGCACGGATATTAGTATGTGTTGGATGAGTATTGTGCAACGTGTTGGCAACACGGGTGTTTACAACGTCGATGTATTCACCACCACTACTACTACTACTGCTGCCACTGCTACTACTACTACTACTACTACTACTACTACTACTACTACTACTACTACTACTACTACTACTACTACTACTACTACTACTACTACTACTGCCACTGCTACTACTACTACTACTACTACTACTACTACTACTACTACTACTACTACTACTGCCACTGCTACTACTACTACTACTACTACTACTACTACTACTACTACTACTACTACTACTGCCACTGCTACTACTACTACTACTACTGCCACTGCTACTACTACTACTACTACTACTACTACTACTACTACTACTACTACTACTACTACTACTGCCACTGCTACTACTACTACTACTACTGCCACTGCTACTACTACTACTACTACTACTACTACTACTACTACTACTGCCACTGCTACTACTACTACTACTACCACTACTACTACTACTGCTTAAGTTGATCGATTTTCCTCAGGTCAGCAATCTCGATTCCATCGCCACGTACGACTACGAGGACTCCGAGGCCTGTTCGTCCTTTGGGGGCACCTCTTCATACGGTGTGCAGTCCCCCGAACGAGAGGTGTTGTTGTTATTGTTACTTTATCGCATGACCTACTGCGACGCTGGGATTCAGGTGGACTTCTCTAAGTCTAACCCTGAGTTCAGTGTTGACACCTCTTTGGTGAATCACGTCTCACGACCGACTGTCAGGTAAAAATGCACCTGCTCGGAATTGAACCAGGGACCACCCATCTCTGCTCTTAGTCGTGTTTGGAGTTCGGCGGCCACGGCTGAGGCTGCAAAAGATGAGGAACTCCCCGACCCGACGTGGAACATTCGTTTGGGAGTTTACCGTGGAGATTTCGAGGCTTCCCCTGAGAGGGATGATGAAGGGGATAATAAGCCTGGGAGAAGAGATAACGACAGGTCGCATTTTGAGTATTCCAATTCGACCTCAGCAACTGTAGACGTCAGGTTATCGAGATTACACGGCGGAGTGTCCAACAGGTGGTTGAGCGCTGAAGATCCGAAGAGTCTTTTGTCATCGAAGACTGTTGGAAATGAATTCTCACGGTCGAATGTCACGGCCGATGTCACTAGTCGCAGTGCGGCGGCTATTCTGAGCAACGCGGCTGCGGGCTCAGCATCCAGGAATCAGCGGTATATGCGGTCCAGAACGATGAGCAACATTGGGGAGATAGGCTCGCGATTCTCTGTGGGGAATCGCAAGCAGTCGCAACGTCGTGCCTTTGGTGCCGGACTCGTCGATAGCCTAGATTGAGCCTGCGTGCATTGTTGTGTTGCCCTATTTTTCCTCTGCTATAAGTGCGTTTATTTCTATTCTGATATCACTAGATTGATGCTGACAAGACGCCTCTGATGTTGATCTCTTTTACTCTAGTGACACGTCCATGCCTACATGATACGAGGTTTCCGACAATCCTTGGTCATTGTGTTCGGTACCATCTCAATTTCAACGGCTGAGAGATCTCGAGTGATGGTCTCGAGGAGGGGTGCGTGGCGCCTATGGAAGGATTCGTGGTGGACTACACGAGGCAGTCGAGGAAACACTGCGTTCGACATGAGACCGTCTTCTATAGTGTTCCCTGATCTCCTACGCCTACGTACTCAAGTGCCGAGCAGTACTTGCTCACTGCATCGAGTTCGTTCATGAAGCCAGCAGTTCTTTGTTGGAGTATACCTCCTGGTTGGTGAGATAGAAGAAGACAGACGAAGTGGCGAAGGCTATCGAGTGGTTGGTGCTCGAGTTCAGCACAGATGGTTTGTTGAAGGAGTTCACTCCAGAAGGAACTGCATTGTGTTGATATCACCTTCCTTCGACAGCTGCTCACACTGGGGGATGCTATGACGGCCCAACCGTACGCTGTGGTGAATACACACTTTTGCCATAGTCTTAAGACATTCATAAGGAGCGCATGCAAACGCATATGATAATGGAAGCACTCGAACGTCTATTGGCTGATTCTTCTGATGCACTGCTTATCGCCTAAGGGGCCGCAAGTCTTCCTGCTGAGGCCTTTGCTGACTAAATCACGAATCTGGTAAAACAGTTCATTTTTCACGCGGACGAATCGTGACTGTCAACATGTTGATCGATCGACCAGTGAAGGCCCTCTGGGAACATATCCCCGAGGAGTAATACACCAACGCTGCCTATGTTTGGGCGGACATCATTGGCCATACCTTTCAAGACCAGCGTTACCGTTGTCCACTGAAGTGTCCAACTATCTTTTCCAAGACTGATGTTGAGTCCCGCATGTTCACCACCGAGTTCGAGACCCTCCTATCAACTGTTTCTCGACTGGAGCAGTCTACAGATGATGTACATCCGCTGGCACTTGTCTATATTAACAACTAAGTAGAGAAGTTGACGGGTGTGAAACTGAGATTGAGCGTATCAATGTCAATCAATATAATGGCTCAGGGGAAAACACCATCAATTGCTGGGCACGCACGTACACAGGACTGCACGCACGAACAAAGCAAGACTGGGCTCGTCAATCCTCAATACTAGTTGTTCAACGAGTGCAGGATTTCCACGTGATGTACAGGCCTTTGAGATGGGCCTGGGTAGCAAGTGGTGACATGCTCAACCTCAACGAAAGTCTTGAAATCCACTTTTACCAGCAACCTCATCAACGGAGTTCGTGAAAACAGCTTCCGAGTGACTATATGCAACCCGTAGTTTATGGCATGAATTCAGCGCGAATACACTTCTTCTATTTCCTGACTGGAATCATATTCACCCAATCCTCCTGTTCGCGTTTTACGAACGCAACACTATCATCGCAAAGCGGAAACAATATGCAGTGGTTCATTCAGGGTGACATCGCAAACTCAGTGGCTATCATAACGTGATCGCTGCCATAGCATTTGTATGGCAGACCACCATTGCAGGATTCAATATCATCATCAGTAAGGCCAGGCAAGCTCCACACAGGCGTGAGACGAGGTGTGTAGAATATGTAGTCCAACACGGCCCTGATAGAGGCAATCCTATAACACGAATGGGAGACCTCAGAAGGCTTACTTGAAGTTGCATACAGCGTTAGTGTACTGTGGAAGCTCTGTGTGCCGTAACCCGTTGATGCCATGATGGAGTTCGATGCCAAGGTCCATATCAACCTTCTCAGGCTGCATCCGTTTAACCTCGCCTGCCAAACCGAAGAGCTCATCCCCTTCCCCCCATTCTGGTTCGTCCACGAGGACCTCATGATACGCGGACTCATCGACTGCCTCGTCCACATCGGCACAGTCTTGTGAGTCCCACTTGAACTGCGGGCCATAGTACCAGTCTTTATGGTTGCTTGCTAGGCCACCCGAACTGAGATACTCCACCACTCCACTATCGGGGAAGGAGTTGAAGTCGCCGCATATGAAGACGTTTGCCCCTTCGAACTTGTCCAGTTCGCGCTTGACGGCCATTGCCAGGAGGTGGGCCTGCAGAAGCCGTACGTGGGTGGCATTACGGTGGAAGAAGAGATGAGTGTTGCCAATTACAAACACATTGCCACTCTCCTGGCGATCACGCAATACCAGGACCTGCCCAGCTGTGCCGAGGTTATCAAAGACGTCACCGAACATGTCCACTTGACCCCACTTATGCTGAAGTTCAGACAGCTGTCCTTCACTAAGCTGGGCCTTCACACCAGTAGATGCCAAGTCCAGAGCGATCTCGTCCAACATCTCGAATCGATCATTTCTATATGCAATAGCGCAACCCTCCCCCTTGTTGCCGTTTTTCTCGACGAATCTCACAGTGTATTGCGGCATCACTTCGCGAACGGTTTCGACAAACCTCGGCTCGGCCTCTTGGAAAGCGAATACGTCAGCCTTTACATCCATGAGCTCACGCATCAACAGCGGGCATCGATACTCCCATTCGAGCACCTCTCGACAGGACTTCACGTTACGATACATGACCTTAGTGGCCAAGGGCGTCCGAACATAACGCTGGGCGAGGACGTTGAAACTCGCCACCCGTATATGGTTCGGCGGTGTGACTCCTAGAGGCTTGGGTAGACGCCTGTCACGGAACGTTCCCTTGCTGGGCGACGGACGGACGGGCCGGCTGGGGTCAGATTCAGCTTGGGGGAGACTTCGACAATCGCTATGATAAGCTGAGACCCGCAGCTTCTTTCCTATGAGGTCTTCCCCAGGCGTGAAGATCCTGCCCGAATGGACGAGCTCCTCACCATCAGTTGTTCTATATTCGTATACGACTTCTTCAGGAGTTGTGTTACTGCACTCTACCAGTGGAACTATGGGGTACTCGGCGAAAACGAAGTACTTTAGGGCAACAGATGTGACCAGTGGGGGATTCAGAAAAACCGAGTAGACCTGAGAAGATGAAAAAATGTCCTTCGAAACTGCTAATGTATTACGTGTTCATTGACAGTGATTTCCTTCGTGGATCGACTGAGCTCAGCAAGAGTGGTTGTGCTGACAGAGGAGTCCGTGGAGGCAAGCTTATTGCCTTCCTTATCCGACCATTGTATTCGAACCTGCAGCGGACGCCTCCCTAAGCCGCCTCCTCCCAATGTGTTGCCAATTACTTTGTTGCCATGCTCCGACTCGTCCGCTGGTGGAGGCCCTTTCCTCTTCTTCAGCTTCCGCTTGTCACCAATCCCATACGCCTTTTCCACACTCAATTGCATACGTCTTAATACCTGCATGACGTCCAATGCAATCCAACACTCATTCTTCCCAACGGACCTGATCCATGGTATCCGATGAGTTCCTGTTGAATGTTAGTCTCTTGCCGTTTACTCTCATCAGTATTACTACGTTGTTGCCATCCTCCGATATAACCACAGGGGATGATGCCTGGCATAAAGGGAGCATCCTATCCCTACTGTCTTAGGTGTATCTCCCAGTACACATGATGATGTCCATTGATACCACGGCCCAACTCACTTTTGCATCAACTGCTGTAGTTGTTGTTGTCATTGTAGCTAGTCTAGTTGATCCCAGAAGTCCAGAATGTGTGGGTGGGAAGATAAGCTGATTGAGGAGAACAGATGATGACGCTGTGGTGATGGAAGTTAGTTTTGTAGATGCTCTGCACGGTAGTGGGCGTAAGAGTCGCGGCCAGGCCAGCTGCAGCAGCAGGATGGGGCGAGAGCAAAAAGCAAAGCTGCGAGTTGAAAACACAAGTGAAGGGTTTGTTCGCAATGCGAGGATGCTACGTGGACTTGAAATCGCGGAGTGACAGCCAACTCCCAAGGCGTGAAGGCCCTGATCAATGCTTCGACCATCTATTCCTGCCGGAGAAGTGCGGCTTGCAGCAGTAACGCGGATCGGATCCGCACTCCCGTCCCCGCTGGAACAATTCATTCGCCTAGGCTCCTGCTGACAGGGGCTGATATTCGTGGACCTTAGGAATCAACTCTTGGGTTCATTTGCTTCCTTGTTCTCTTGTATTGCTCGACATTCCTCAACTCGGGTAGACAGTGTTCCACCGTAATCGGCGGCGGTTTAGGACCTCCGGCTCGCGCAATAACGTGATCGATTATGGTGTTGTATGATGTTAGTCTCCCCACTAGCAGCAACAGGTCTGTTTCACGTCACTCCTAGCAGAACAAGGCAAGATAGACCTTCGAAAGGTGTTGTAGTATGTAGAAGACTTAACTCTGCCGTGCGAGCTCGTCCCAAACAGGTGAGTCCGTTAAACTCAAGTACGCACGATTTCTTCTACAGATATTAGAGCACGACCTTAACAGTGGTCCATGATGGACCGTCCATCTACTTAACACGAATCGTGTCCTCTACACGGTCGAGGCTTGATTATATTAGGTACTGATCGGCTGCATGTGAGAAGCACTGCAACCACATGCTAGACTCTGCTGAACAGCAGGTGGATAAATGAGAGGATCCTTTCACGCCAGTCGGTCGATCATCAGTATACTCGTTAGTTTTGTTCGTCCGACCTGACACACGGTTCATGGTACACTATAGAGTATACCATGCACCGTGTGTTGGATGATGCCTGTTGCAAATTCTTTCATCCGAGTTGTGACCTGACTGTCCCAGATCTGAGCACTCGAGAACACGAGGAATGCGTTGCTCAACATCAACTCATTATTCACGCATGTTAGAATGGACATGCATCAGGTGTAAAGCATCTAGGAGCCGATCACAGCCTCCTTCACCGAGGTTCCTGCAACTTCTTGGGTCCTGTACCTGAATGCGTATAATGAACGGTTAACTCTTAGTGATGGTGGTCGGTAATTTGGACTTCGGGCTTTCGATTGTGAGACGCCGACTACTGTCTTTCACCTCCCTTGCTCGATGTCCATCTCCTCCCGCGGCGGCGTCTTGTCCACGAGCTTCTTCAGCAGGTAGATCTGTATGCCGCTGGCGATCAGACCGATTATACTGATCCCCAGAAGGAGTCCAACCAGTTTTACTGAGCAGCCCGCATCGTCCGCACCGACGCTGCCAGCTGGCGAATCTTCCGCAGCCTTGGGAGCACTGAGGATGGGACAAGTGAAATCGATGCGACAAGCCTTCATCCCTTACTCTTGCGTAGGGCTAGCAGTTGCTGGACTAGTCGTTCCCTCGATGACAGGGGTCGAGTTCAACTGCCCGACCGCCGGAGTGTAACTTCCTGGCGGCTCGAGGGTGATGCTCGACCAGTCGATACCAACTGCGGCTGGTGTGGATCTTGGATCGTCAAGCACGATGCCTGATAGATCCACACCAGCCGGGGTCGGTGTCGGAACTAGTGCAGGCTCGATAGTGATCTTGGTCCAGTCTATGTCGCCAAATGCCACGGCAGCAATAACGAGAATACTTGCGAAGGTTTGCATAGCAAGCTGAAAGTGTAACTACAGGAAGTGAGCTGCAATGATAATCTAAATCACATGGCAATCCCGCACGACCGTCCTCCTTGTTTTTGCGACCCGTGATGCACGTTTCGTGCAAGTCGCAGCAGACAAGTGCTACCAAGGCTGCAAGGTGCACGGTGCTCAATTTCCATGCCGCCCTGGGTCTTCGGATCGTGAAAAAATTGAGCAGTGTTGAATCAGTACTCTTGCTAGAGATGTATCCACCGGTCTCGAGGGGAAGTCGGACACTTGGAACAGCATGTGGTCCAAGAACCGTTCCGAGGGGTACGAGATCCGTACATGCGTCTTACTTATCTACGAATCATAGACTCTGACACCTTATCCTCTTGATATACGGGCGCCATTATCAGTTATGGATCTTTAGTGGTGTTGGAAGTTGGCATTTATAATTTCTAACTCTGCAATGTCATGCTTTCACGATGGGAGTTTCACCGATGACATCTTCTTGATTTCCTTGAAGCGTACTGCGTTCAAGACTTGAGTAAGAAGTAGCGGGTCGCATTGACAAGCAATGATTTAGTGATTCATGTTATTCACGGTCCGCTCCCCACTGCTTGGGCATGCCTTACCATCCGCCATAAATAGTGTTTACAATTAAGAAACGTGCATTGCGTCACGGTGAGCCATAGGCATAATCCCTCAGCGAACTTGGAGGGTATGTCATTTTATCTGAGGGAGAATGCCATGTGAAAAGGTTAGGTCACTGACCACTTTACGAAGCACACTGCGGATTTGTGGGCGCTTCGGTCAGGCCGTTGTACACCCTGTGTATTGACGGACTCTGTACTACAAACTTTCTAGTACAAAGCCCAAGTTTTATCTTCATGTCAATCTCTGCGTAGCCTTCACAGGGCATTTTGCCACCATGACGGCGACTTGCGTGATGACTCCCCTACCACCGCATTTAAGGTCCCAAGTTCGATCGGTGCCGTCAGCAGTGGAGGAAGTTGCCGGATCGGTCGGAGTATACTAAAGGGCCTTTAGTAAAGGCTACACCACGCCAAGGTTACCTCAGAGGGGTATGTGGGTCCCACATTGTGGGAAGTCCTTGCTGAACGCACACATCATCATCATACACGTGCTAACATATTTCCTGACATGCGGGACGGTGGCACGTACCACAAGGGAAGTTCGAGAACCTAGGGGTACGAGCAGCGAGGGCACTCGGCGTGGGCCGGAACTTTTCCTGCGGGTCATTGGATTGGCAAGACTGTTGCAAGTGTAGTACACCTTTTAAAGACCTATTTCGCGTCAAGTAAGATTAGTTTCGGAGGACACACAAACATCCTCGCCAAGATAGGCCTGCGAAAGGTGTTGTAGTATGTAGAAGACTTAACTCTGCCGTGCGAGCTCGTCCCAAACAGGTGAGTCCGTTAAACTCAAGTACGCACGATTTCTTCTACAGATATTAGAGCACGACCTTAACAGTGGTCCATGATGGACCGTCCATCTACTTAACACGAATCGTGTCCTCTACACGGTCGAGGCTTGATTATATTAGGTACTGATCGGCTGCATGTGAGAAGCACTGCAACCACATGCTAGACTCTGCTGAACAGCAGGTGGATAAATGAGAGGATCCTTTCACGCCAGTCGGTCGATCATCAGTATACTCGTTAGTTTTGTTCGTCCGACCTGACACACGGTTCATGGTACACTATAGAGTATACCGTGAACCGTGTGTCGGATGATGCCTGTTGCAAATTCTTTCATCCGAGTTGTGACCTAACTGTCCCAGATCTGAACACTCGAGAACACGAGGAATGCGTTGCTCAACATCAACTCATTATTCACGCATGCTAGAATGGACATGCATCAGGTGTAAAGCATCTAGGAGCCGATCACAGCCTCCTTCACCGATGTTCCTGCAACTTCTTGGGTCCTGTACCTGAATGCGTATAATAAACGGTTAACTCTTAGTGATGCTGATCGGTAATTTGGAGTTCGGGCTTTCGATTGTGAGACGCCGACTACTGTCTTTCACCTCCCTTGCTCGATGTCCATCTCCTCCCGCGGCGGCGTCTTGTCCACGAGCTTCTTCAGCAGGTAGATCTGTATGCCGCTGGCGATCAGACCGATTATACTGATCCCCAGAAGGAGTCCAACCAGTTCTACTGAGCAGCTTGCATCGTCCGCACCGACGCTGCCAGCTGGCGAATCTTCCGCAGCCTTGGGAGCACTGAGGATGGGACAAGTGAAATCGATGCGACAAGCCTTCATCCCTTACTCTTGCGTAGGGCTAGCAGTTGCTGGACTAGTCGTTCCCTTGATGACAGGGGTCGAGTTCAACTGCCCGACCGCCGGAGTGTAACTTCCTGGCGGCTCGAGGGTGATGCTCGACCAGTCGATACCAACTGCGGCTGGGTGTGGAATCTTGGATCGTCAAGCACGATGCCTGACAGATCCACACCAGCCGGGGTCGGTGTCGGAACTAGTGGAGGCTCGATAGTGATCTTGGTCCAGTCTATGTCGCCAAATGCCACGGCAGCAATAACGAGAATACTTGCGAAGGTTTGCATAGCAAACTGAAAGTGTAACTACAGGAAGTGAGCTGCAATGATAATCTAAATCACATGGCAATCCCGCACGACCGTCCTCCTTGCTTTTGCGACCCGTGATGCACGTTTCGTGCAAGTCGCAGCAGATAAGTGCTACCAAGGCTGCAAGGTGCACGGTGCTCAATTTCCATGCCGCCCTGGGTCTTCGGGTCGTGAAAAAATTGAGCAGTGTTGAATCAGTACTCTTGCCACCGGTCTCGAGGGGAAGTCGGACACTTGGAACAGCATGTGGTCCAAGAACCGTTCCGAGGGGTACGAGATCCGTACATGCGTCTTATTTATCTACGAATCATAGATTATGACACCTTATCCTCTTGATATACGGGCGCCATTATCAGTTATGGATCTTAAGTGGTGTTGGAAGTTGGCATTTACATTTTCTTGATTTCCTTAAAGCGTACTGCGTTCAAGACTTGACTAGGAAGTAGCAGGTCGCATTGACAAGCAATGATTTAGTGATTCATGTTATTCACGGTCCGCTCCCCACTGCTTGGGCATGCCTTACTATCCGCCCTGAATAGTTTTTACAATTAAGAAACGTGCATTGCGTCACAGTGAGTCATAGGCATAGTCCCTCAGGGAGCTTAGAGGGTATGTCATTTTATTTGGAATCCTGGTGAGGGGGAATGCCATGTCGTGTGAAAAGGTTAGGGTGACCACTTGTCACTGACCAGCTTACGAAGCACACTGCGGATTTGTGGGCGCTTCCGTCAGGCCGTTGCACACTCTCTGTATTGACGGACTCTATACTACGAAGCCCAAGTTTTATTTTCATGTCATGTTTATTTTCAAACCCCAACAACCCGAACCCGATTTCCCGGTATCCAGCGGGTTTCATTTGGACGTAGCAGCCATTTTGCGGATGATGGGCTGCCACTACGAAATCGAGGTAGTTTAACTGGTTGGGCTGTCTTCCAGGTTATCGTTGGTTGACTATGTAGCATTTTAGGACAAGGTCATGCCCTTCATACTGGACGTCACTATAACCGCGAACCAGGCAGCTCGGGTAAACTCAGAAGAGGCTGCTCGTGATGGCTTCGAGAAAGAAGAGCGAGCTAGTCGCGTGGTGGAGTGGTTGAAAGCTCAACAGCGGTTGCAGTGTGTTAAGGTCATGCTAATACTTACTGTCAGTTTCTGAACTCAGTGTTTCGGGAAGTCTGTTGGTCTTTACTTGGGTCGGATGAGTCCGTATTGTAGATCAGTGCTTTCCACTTGACGATCAGGTTGCAGCACTTGACGATCAGGAGGTGGATCGTTCTGTTGCAGCAGTTAAGCTGTTTATGAATTAGTAGGGAGGAAGAGAAGACCACTGCAGATGCACACAGACAGCAGAGTTCTAAGGTTGCCATCTGCTGCCGATCATGTCAGGATGGACTACTCCCTGGGCTCTTCGTCAGAAGCACTCTGTTGAGCAGATCAGGCTGCTGTTGCTGGATATATTCACTCTGATGGTGGGATAATCAATGATCCGATGGTAGGGTGAAGGGCGAGCTCTATTCCATCTTCAGAGTGTATGCAGGTGAAGAATCGAGACACCAGTCCCAGCGGCCTCCAGAGGTGGAGTGCGTAGAACCCACATTTGCCATATTTTGCGTACCATCGTCGATTTTCGTGGCGCGCGGTAACTGTTGATGTGTCGGTCCGATATTGATACCATGACCACGCTGAATAGCGACTCGTTCTCGTCCCAACTGTTATTGAGTTTTAGTCCAGGAGGGACTGTCGATCTAATAGATCACTCTGGTTTGTAAGTCGATGTCGTCATCATGTCTGAGGGAATGTGTTGAAGATGAGGAGGATGAGGAGGAGGAGTTCACACCCCTCCACAAGGCTCGGCTACATGAGCCTACTGCTGTACGGGGCGTGGGAGTGGCTGATGATATTGGCGGTAGGCCTGACATGGAGGACTCCTTTGTATTCGTGGATGGATTTGGCGGCAAGAGGAGCTCGGCATTCATGGCGATGTAGGCGGGGTGTGGTATGGCGATGGGCCGGAATTGTCGACGTATATATCGAGTGAAAATTCAATCTAGAATCCATTTACGTTTCTGAATCGGAAATACAGTAAGCTTAGATACGATGGGCATGGTGGGAGGCGATGTGTTGATTTTGTATGCAAACGGTTACACCACAAATTGCTGGAAAATTTGACGCTAGAGCCCCCTCCAGAGCAGGAAGAGGTGGAGAAGGGTGATAAGCCAGGCCCATCGCCGTGGTCGACTATGTCGTTCAAAACGGCGATGTCAACAGGTAGGGGCGCGCTATTGTCGCTGATGGCGCAGTGTCGAATGCCAGGCTCAACCTTGGGTGCGTCTATTCCTGTTCGGCGACGATATATGTACGCCACGGAGGCTCTTGTTAATGCCTATACTCAGACTGACGAGGCATTTCGGAATGAGCTGCAGTCGTTGGAAGGCGGATGTATGTCAACTCATACCACTCCTCCTTCACTTTTTCTCTCTATAGGCACTGCTGTGACCTGTCTATTGCAATATGAGTTTGGTGGAGATAGGACTATTTATTGTGCTCATGTTGGTAAGGAGTCGAACGAGGCACTACTGATGACCAGCCGTAACGCCTTCAGGCGACTCAAGAGCTGTACTGTGCAGAGGACGGAAGGCGCTGCGACTGACTAGTGCTAGTGATCATAAGGCTACTGACCCAGTAGAAGTGGCACGAATTACTCAAAAAGGAGGCAGGGATTAATCGGGCTCATGCTGTGGCAGAGAGCTGTGGTGTCGACGCAGGTATAGTGGTGAATGACAGAGTTAATGGAATGCTGGCAATAGCCAGGGCCTTGGGAGACTTCCGCTTGAAACGAACGATATCAGCCCAGATGGTGGCGCGGGCGGCGGAGGCTCGAGAGAAGGGCGAGGAACTCCCTCCAATTCTTGGTAGTGTGTACTACTACTACTACTACTACTACTACTACTACTACTACTACTACTACTACTACTACTACTACTACTACTACTACTACTACTACTACTACTACTCCTGAGGGCGGAGCTTGGGTTAGCAGGTAACGTTACCGATATAGTATCTAACATACCGGATGTGTCCAGTATTGTCCTCAAGGAGACACTGGACCACTTCTTGATACTGGCTTGTGATGGGGTATGGGACGTCGTATCGGATCAGGAGGCGGTAGCCCAATGACTGTGGTAGTTTCGTGGCGCGCGAAATGTGGCAGCAGGTTGATGTGATATTGGAGGTCTTATCGAAGCTCACCCAAGCTCAGCTGTCCATGGCAAAGAATGAGCAAAAGAAATGTCCTCTGCGATGCGGAAATGTGGCTCAGATAGCAGCCACGGCGCTGGTCAGTAGTTCTTCCATAGCAAGGGGTAGTGGTAGTGTCTGGCAGGTAGAGGAAGCCTTGAGTCGTGGTAGCATGGATAACGTTACTGTGATGATAGTACTATTGTAAGCTCTCATCATCATCGTCATTACATGCTTATACACTTTAGCACGTACACTGATTATCCAGTACCACAATCACGTTGTTGAGCTCAGTATGGTCACAATCCTTGTCGTCTACCTTCGTGATTCTGAAGACACTCTTATTTTTTGCGGGGGGAATTGCCAAAAAAGGACTTCATTTCTTTTCACTGATGCTGTTGTGTTGAGTGAATCGAGTATCCGATACACAGAATCGACGCGACTTAACCATCATCAGCAAATCACCTTCATTAACGTTCATAACAAGCGCGTGTAATAGATGCTGTTTGAAAGATTCAATGAGAAATTCCCTGAGAGCATCGCACTGATTCAGTTATGATATCCGGCATATATATGACTCGAGACCAGTAGCAGAGGGAGGGAGCTTTTGCTAGTGAGTCCCCTACCGGTATGATCAGGAAACAAACCTCGTGCTGGTCGGCACAGCTAGCTTAAAAGCGAAGTCTCGAAGGCTACCAAGTGTTCTCGGTGCTTCATAAGGAATGTTTCTGTGAGTTCAAAGTCCAACGCCTACAACAACACGGCTTAGTTAGACTCGCTGCACATTAGCTCCCGAGAGATCAGTTCAAGCCATTCAAATTGTCTACTTTCATCGTGCCATTGAGTCTAGCCTCCGCCAATGTACTTCCTTTCCTCTGAAGAATGTTTGATTGTCACTATACCACCTCTACTCGGAAGTCATGGTGATTTTCCTCCAAAACCCGCCCCACCACGACTATGCAGATAAGTTTACACACGAATAGAAACAACATCTCTCGTCTGGTTCGAACAGGTGCTAGTGGCCAATCTGAGATTCCCAATCGTATTTCATCGGATGTTGGTTACCACACTGTCACTAAACTACACAAATCCAAGCATTCTCTTTCTGCGGAAACCAGCAGATATAATTGTACACAATACATTTGAATGGTAAGCATCAAGTTTAAGCAAAACATAATACAACGTCAAGAGCCACTCCCCAGTCAGTCAACGCCGGCCCCGCCGAGCACGACGATTCCCAGCATTCTGCGCTATGACGAAACTGCCCTGTACGTCGGCATCAGTAGCGCCCGATTTCCGGACTTGGGCTCGCATGCTCAAGTACTGCTTTAAATCATTGATTTGCTCTCGAAGGTCGGCCTTCTCATCGTGGAGCTTCTTCGTCCGAACCTGTACAGTCATACTGCATGCCGTCTACACCGAGCTGTTGAATGATATTCACCGTCGATGCTATTTGTCGCCGTTGCAGATCTTTCTTCAGCCGAGCCACTTCTTCACGAAGTTCTTGCCTTTGGTCGTCCAAATCGCTGCAATCAACACGTAACCTGACATGAACACCTCCCAGGCCCTCCGTGCCGCAGAGCTCACCGTTCCAATGAAGCCTTGATATCCTCTTCCTCTGACCTTAGCTGGGCTCTGTCTTCCTCAACACTATCGAGCTCATCCTTAGCATCGCAGAGTCTCGACAGTACTTCATCACGTTGACCCGTGGCATTGGAATAGCTGACGTCAATACACTGCCAACAGGCTCGGGTTGGATCGCGCGGACCTCTCTCTATTTCGTGCGCGAATTTCCTCAAATATATCCTCGTAATGTTGCTGCTGCGACTCCTGCAGGGTAGCATACACCTCGTTGAACTCGGACATGATATTTTCCTCGTCTCCTTGCAGTATTTTCTTCGCAACATGTTTGACCTTCTTACACGAATCTACCACGGCAACTACTGAGTACTTTCCCGAGTGTGGGAAAATATGCACATGGTCAACCACATGTGTTGGTGACAATATAAAGGTTCTGAGAAAATTTTGGGAGATTCTCATTAGTTTCCAAACTTGTACGTAAATTCTTTAGTTAGTGAGGAAACTCTTTGACTCAGCTGAGGAGAGCAAACATATATTCCATCACTGAATTCCCCCGCCTCTCCTGAGCACCTTTGCTATCATCACTACCCTCCCCATCGGCACAGCCATCTTGAGAGGCCCTGCCTGTGAGCCCAACGTAGCCGCCTTCAGAGAAATCAAACACCGACTGAGTGGAGACCTGACAAGCAAAATTAACAGCGAATTCAACGACCTCAAGTACCTGCATGGCAAAGGCGTGATCAGACTCCAGGAAGTGGGCATATGCATGAGTATAGTGGTGGCGGTCGTCCACCAAGAATGTTTCCTCGATTAAGCTTGGATACCCTTGAGTGTCACAGCCTAGCAAAACTATTCTCCGCTGCATGACGATGATGCATTACAGCCTATAAAGCCACAGACTAGACAAACCATCAACTTCATCGCATCCGCCTCCCCACACACGTCACAGCTACTACATCTGAGAAGCAGAGATATGCAAAAGAAATCTTTACAAAGTAGTCTCACCGTGACGGGTATTGCTGGAAGCGACATACTGGGCATGACCTGTCACACCATTTCGAGAGGCACTTCCAATGGAAACTGTGACCGCATAATATCGTCAATGCAACTCCACCGCCTCCACAAGATGCCTGCCCGCCAGTAGAAGTCGCACTGGGGGAGTACCTTAGAGCTCACGAGGTGACTAAGGAGGAATGATGTGTTTTTTACAGTAGTGGATCGAGACATATACTGCATTGATGGTCTTTGGTGAGAACCGGCGCGAAGAGCTGTACCGGTGCTAAAACGTCATCTACGGATTTCGAGATGGCGCCGTCAATACGGCAACCAGTGACCTCCAGCAAAGGCAGGGAACTACCTAAGTCGCCACGTGATTACTATGCGGACACAGAAGAGTGCTACTGGCTCCTCCGACAAGCTGCCTGGCATTGGCGTGGGAATCTGATCCTCCTACTAGGACTAGGAGTAGATAAGACTCAGGGTAAGGCCCATGCAGGACCTGATGACCAAGAGAAGGTACTGTTACATAATATTTAATACTATTATTTTATTTTATTGGACCAGTGTGGGAAATATGCGCATAGTCAACTACATGTGTAGGTGACATCTGTGAAAATTTTGAGGAAAAATTGCGAAAATTCTCATCAGTTTCTGTACACTCTTACCGTTTCGTATGTTCACTCCTGTAATTAGTGAAGAAACTCATAAACCCAGTTGACGTGTCTTCTATCACTCTATTAGGCTACATCTCAGCGTTACTATATTCTATTTATAACTTATCGTATTTATTATTTAAGAGGATTTATTACTATCATTATTATATGATATATAATATGTTTCTGAAGTAGTGTAATGCATAGTGATGTTGTTGATGACCACATATCGGAGCACGATGTAAATCCTCCCTTACTAACCTTATACTGCTCAACTCCAGCCTGATAGGACTCCCATATTGCCACGACCTCTGTAGGAGGAGTGTCCTTTGGCACTGACGGACACAATAGGACAGTTGGTTCGAAGCCATCATAGTCCACCGACACACCACCAGCAGCAGTAGATGATGATGACGACGACGATGAGGACCGCCCCGTCTTGGTATTGAAGTCGAAGTCGTGGACGTAGATCAACCCTGAGACCTTCGAAGATATCATCACTTTGGTCAATTTCTCTAAGGCTCACCCGTGCTCATGTGAACGCTGGGGTTGCCAGCCCAGAACTCGTATTTCTCGGTAATAGTCATTGAAGGCGCTTGTTGTTGGTGATGATAGTCACGTGAATGGGAACCTGCGTGTGAACTGTTCAATTACTCATAAGATGCGTATTGTTACTTGCTGATTGACTACGTTGTCGAGTGTTGGTGAGTAGAGCGGGATCCAACGACGTTCCAGAGGAGGTTGGTGGTGGAGAGGACGAGGACGGTACTGATCTAGACGGCATTATATGATGATCATGAAGCTGTAGCATTCAGGTCACTACTAGGCAGTGTAGAAGGATATGTAGATGTAGTATGCTCAACTACATGTGTTGGTGACAATATGAAATTTCCTGAGAATTTCTTGTTGGTTTCTGAACACCTCTACCATAATTCGTGTGCAAACTTGAGTAATCAATGAGGAAACTCCCGAGCTCAGCCGCAGAAAGCAAACGTATATTCCACCACTACTACTAGGAACTCCTGGTTGATATGCGCCTCATTAACGCATATTTCGCAGTTCTCAGAAAAATGAGTTCAGTCGGGAAATCTCGTAGTCCCAAGATATGACTCAATTCCGTCGTAAGTTGGTCGCCGAAACTGATAGGAATTGGGATTACTTTAACGGTGCTAACAGAGCCGATCATCCTATCGCAGCTGCGAGATCAATCTCACTGGGAGGGAAGTAGTCCTTTGAAAAATGATTTTTGAAAAATCTAGTTATGGCCGTATGTCGCCCTTGCTGGGACAAGCTTCACTGCCTCGTCAACTCGGCACGCCATCTCCCGTAGTGGTTGTATGCTACATCGTCAACTTTAGCTCCCATTGAGGGTCCGCTCATTTGCCACCTCCATCGAGCTCGCCAGTGGCGAAGAGCCCTACCAAGGTGGAATGTTTGAACGTGGCTAGCGAGAAAGAGAATATGGAGAGGGACCGGGAATCGAACCTGCGACCTGATTCCTCATTCAACAATGAGGAAATAAATCTGCTAGATTTGTCATCAAAATTTCGGTCAAGGAGTGACAAAGCTCCACCGTTCAACATCAACGCAGCGACGATTCCATCGAGCTGGTACTCCGGCGTGGCGCACGTGGCTTCGTTGATGAGATGAACAAAGGCTACACTGAACACTCGACGTAGGCGAGGGGCTATCGAGCTGTTGAGAGCTAGATGGACCTTTCAATGATATGCATCTGTGCGGTATCATGCTTGATGGTGGTTACATTACGATGAGATGCGGATATACATATACCCGACCTTATAATCATATACTAACTGCTGACGGATGTATAATATCATATTACCAGTCATTTCCGTCTATCGGAGCGTGCTCGATGGATGTCTGACACTACTGGCCCAGTAGTACTGAGCGATCGAGATGTGGGGTGATGGGAGTAACCTGTTGAAAGTACTGGTATGATTACTCGTGAATAGTCTTGGACTCGCAGTTGCCCTCAGCTGCAACTGATATTGATCAGGCATCGTTCTGCTGTGCGAGTGGTAGAGAGGTTTGACGAGTTGTATAGGGAGTATGCTTGTTCTGGCTTTCATTCCGTGGAAGCTGTCGTGTCCAGGGAGGCTGGGGGTGAGACGTTACTGAAGGGGCAACTCAGTCGATTCAAGCAGTCGTAGGACTGGTCATCCATGCCGATCGAACTTTTCTCGTCAACTTAGAAACGCGACGACGATTCGCGGAAATTGGTTTGAGTCGATGAGAAAATAACAGCCATCGAGAGTGGGCCGAAATCCAAGTTCCGGAGTAGAATTCGTTTGCATCCTCCGAAGGATACATTTTAAATGAGCTCCTAAACTTGGGTATACCAAATAAACTTGGGTAACTAAATAAATCGGGTATAACATTAATTTCCTTGCTATTTTATTAAAGCCATGGGTAAAATGTTAACTATAAAGGTAAAACATTAACCGAGTGGGTAAAAAATTAAATTTGTCGGTAAGAAATTAATTGGACCTGGAAATGCTGTACTGTGGATGGTCAGCGATTCATCATACTATTCATTTATATCATCAAATTTAAATATCATACATATCATTATCTACCTGCACAGCTAATAGCTAATAGATAACCCCTGTGTTTTCCATAGTATCTTTGTCATGATACGTGTGTCACTTTGAGTCGTTTTTGGTTAACTACTGGGTAGCCACAAGGAGGAGGATGTGGTAATGGAATACTATCGTGTTTATAATCACGATGCTGCAGATTTCAAAGGTCTATTCCGTTTCTGGTGAGATCATTCGTGTTCGTGGAGGCGGCTATGCCACATCTCCCAGGATATGCTTCAGTACAATAAATCTCACTGGGCGGGGCGGCTATGCCACATCTCCCAGGATATGCTTCAGTAGAATCTGTTTCCCTGGACGGGCCGGATATACCGCCCCTCGCAAGATATGCATTAGTACAATCAATTTGCCTGGGCGGGGCGGCTATGCCACACCTTGCCAAGGTACGCTCTCGTTCAATCAATTCACAAGCGCATGTCATGGGAAAGTCAAGTTCGTCGGCACGGGCGAAGTAACTCCTCCGACCTCGACGAATTGCGGGTGTTCTTTTTACTGTTATTAGAGCTACGTTATTTATGTTTTCTGTGACAACTGCTGATACCGTCTTCTAAGAAGACTCTTCTTCCTTTCACATGTCGGCCGCGGTGTACGCCCCATCACCTAGTCCTCGACAACGAAGCTCTCCTCATCCTCGGAGGCACTATAAACATCCTATGACTACCTCCTCAATGTCAGCATCTCTCGTGAGGCAATCTATGAGCACACCAAGGACCTCACCGGTTGGAGGAGAGAGAGCGAGGTGTTCCCTCGCAGTTCCGCTCGTGACCTGTCTCGTACATTGCGACACGACTGATCCTCGTCTGATTGATATCGCGTATCCCATTCTAATGATTATTGGGATTGCCTTCAGACAACAACCCCCGAGAAGATTCCCTGTGGCGGATCGTCACATCGAGAGCGTTATCATTCTCATTCACTATGATAAGGATATCCCCGATAGCCGATCGTATATGGAGTTTGATTCTATTAGAAGTGCTATGGACGGTAGGTCCTCATCACGCTATCCACTATTATGTTCTATCGACAGTAGACTTCCTCCTAGCGTGTACGCTTGTTCATATCAAATGGTGAACACAGCAGGTATCGAGAGCACGCTTGATAAGAGTCTTGTATGAGAGACGGCGATCAAGCAATGATTCCTATAGAGTTTGATCCGTGCTCGCACAAGTCGATTACTCTGAAGAACATACTGGGCTTTTATGCTCACGCGTGGTGTCGTTCTTCAACAGGTATCTGCCACCTGTACGAGTCAGCGTTGAGCGACGCATTGACCAGTAAGAGGGATGGTACGTTACCGCCGTTTGAGGGCGAGAGAAGACGGAAGAGTGTCAACTATAATGCACAGGATTTGTTCAAGTAGGCATGAGGCGATTTCTCGGCCTCATGGCGAACTCAGCCTCCCCATGGCCAACCCTGGCGAACTATGCCTTTCCCATAACTCTTAGAATCTCTCTCTGATATTGCGATTGGGGGAATTGCATATTCAAGTATGCCTTTGGTCCCCTTTTCGTTGCAGTTACATCGACAGTATGGCTACAATGAAGGCTCTCATATCACATAGGACAACGGACGGCACCCAGCGGGTCTCGAAGAATGACGTCGGGGGCTCGCTACTCCCGCGGGACATCCAATGGATCAAGGACAACCTCATAAAGCATCTTCGCAGTCAGTTGGATACTCCCTCTTTGCCATTCCACCCGTCTACTAGTGCTTGAGATGACATGAGATAATTTCTCATATTCGTTAGTTGGTTATGCGTTATTCTAGTAACTCTGGGGTTGGTGAGATAACACTAGGACGTAGTGTAGGACGTCTTCTCGTAGTGACTACGGGACGTTCCAAATCTGAACTTCCACTGAGCACTGATGTTTCTTCTGGGCATCCGATGAGGTATAAAAGAGATATTCCTGAGCCTAGATGCCGTATTGTAGTTGACTGCTCAAATACCTAGTTCTGAGATGTTGGACTGATCCACGGCCAAACAGCGCTCGCGTGTTGTTCAGTCGTCAGGGAAAGCATCTAGGAGCTGTTCCATGGGAACGGTATCGTTGTAGTCTACTAGTAGAACACAACTCATCAAAGACAAGTCAAAACACGACACTTCAATGGGAGTATCTATCCAAAGCTTCTGCCAATTATGCGTGCGAGTGAGGTCATCCATCGGTGACGTAAATTCGCACTGGCGAAAGTGACATTCAGACGAGTCTTGCCGATCAGCTTCAGCATGACGTGACAGTTTCCTTCAAATTTCACCTGACAATCAGGGTACCACAATCAATAAGTTTGGAAACATGCGATACAAATAGTAGCACAATCAATGACTAAAGATGGTGTGGTGGTGGCAACAGTGAACGTCTTGCCTCAGCCAGATCGTTCAGGTTGACCTCAATGAGCAAGTTGAGCAGGTTGTTGACTCGGTGACAGGGGTATGCCTGAGCACTAACAATGGGCTGTCTATTTCATTCTGAATCAACCGTGACCGGGCCTCCGTTCTTTTCAGTGATGACTTCACTCCTCATAAAGTGTAATGCCGACGTCTCTTCCAGCGGCCAAGATAACAGACCCTCTGTATAGACGTTGGAACTGGTTCGAATCGACTACTATACTTCTGACCTCGGGAGAATTCCAGTTTCGCCATTTTGCCCGTGGACGACAAGACAATCACTTCCAATGCCATTTGACGTTCATTATCCTGATATAGAGGATGAGTATGCGACGATGTGCTGCTGAGTTACGTCCTCGCCATTGGGTGAGATTGTTATCAGTTCCACACATGAATCCGACTTGAGATGGAGACAATAGGCCGCCGAACGGCTGAGGGAACTCTCAGTGACGATGGCGAATCGATAAGAGCATTCGTCTTGAATGGCTCTAGCAGCCTGAGAGATTGGATCATACAGACTGGTCGGAAGTTGATTGTTAGGTGGGGATATGAAGATGGATTAGATAACATAAACCTGTGGCAATGGATAAGCAACAAGTTGCCATAGCATCAGACCTCCAGACCAAACAAATACTTCTCAGCTGAAGGGGTCCCACCTCAATAGCCGAGGTCTCGTCGTCGAATACCAGCAACTCTACATTATGGCCATCCGCACTCAGGACAGGTCGAACATCTAGCACAAGTACGACCAAGTAAATCATGAGAAGAAGCAAGGTGTCAGAAATGCCTAGTCGATAATGTGCGGTTGTTCCTGATGTACGGATGACAGCCATAAGTTGAGGAGCTCGATCGAAAAGCACAACGCCCAAGATAGACGTGAATGGCCGGATGAACCTGATCCGAATAGTGAGTTACAATCAACACCGTGGCCGACCCAAGATACGTCAGGATCAGACACCGTTAGAGATGCGGTCATATGAGCGATTGTAGCGCATGCAATAAATATGATCAATCAGCGGTGATGATGTCGGTACCCCATTGACGAATTACCGGGTAGACAACAATATTCGGAAGCATATGTCAGTGGATGATGGACAGAGTGATACCGCAGCCCACCTGCTGAACTCCGCTTTCTCTGGCGAGCCAAGCCCAGGCAGGAGAAGTACCCCTCGTCGTCGCACTATAGCAACCGTAACAACTTCTCCAGTCGTGGTATCTATGGTTGATATCTTAGAGGGGCATTGGCGCCATCCAGCATAGCCACAGACCATTCTCTGATACCAAACCTGCGTCAACTCACTCCTATCGATAAGATGGGCCCTCCTCATATGTGTAACTTCAGTCGGTTCCTTGAAGTAATCAGACACCTGCTCATTCAACTCTGCTCTTTGGGTATCTACACCACCCGCAATCCTCAAGTATTGAACGCCGAGGGCATCAGCCCTACATCTCTCCCTTTCTTTCAAGAGCAGTTGGACCAAGCTCGGTTTCAGATGGCTGTTGTCTCGCATCATCTCCCTTTGTATGAGCTCATTGATTGGATACCTCATGGACTCACAACAGGTTAGCAACAACGCCAGAGCTCGGCGAGGCAGCTGGCATCCACCCAGGCCCTGGCAGGAGGTGCTTATGATACATCTTCTATCTTCGTTAGGAGTGCCATGATTCGTCAAACTTAGTCACGATACGATCGCGGGTCCGTTGAGAGCAATGCAGACAGCCAATATGATGCTTCCAGCTATCGCTGGGCCATTTCATTACTAATCCTCCTCAGCTATATTCTTTCGTCACACTGAGAGCTACAACAATTTCGCCAGAAAGCATAATATGGGAGATCTACTGGAGTTTGCGCATCGTTTAACCTGGCCGAGCCCAGGAGGAGTGCCCGCAATCAAATCGAAAATAGGCGGTTGGACAGTGATAGGAGGCGAGCGGATGCCATTCTTTGATGTGACACATGAGCCCACAGTGTGTCGGTGCAATTGGCATCACTTCTCGAGCCAATGCCTCCACCAGAAAGGACATCATGTTGTGTGAGATGAGTCGCGGTAGGATATTCCTCGATACCGCCTTGTAGCGTTCTAACTTGGAGGAGTTCAGAACCTGTGAGAGAAACAGGCGAAAGTTCAAAAAGACATACCGCTCCTGCAGCTGATATCTCAGAGATTGCAATGAATAATAGAGTGCAACTCTCTACGCAGACAGACTGAATGATACGCGCCTATGAGAGGCATGCACGGTAGACCAGATGATGCACAGAAGCCAAGCGTGGAACATAGCAGTTGATAGCCCACGGCAGATGAGCTGCAGTAGCCACTATACCCCACCAGCTTGACTGGTCAACATCGTGAATGTAGGAGTTTCGCGCTGTGGCAAACTCGAGGAAGAGACGAATATTTTGAGATGCACAGTGATTTGAAAATAAGCCTCGTGCCTTTCGTATTACTCATTCAATGAGTGATACAAAGAGGAGGACTTCATAATGAAATATCATGTAGAGAGTCAGTAGAATAAAAGTACAATGCGGATTGTAATGTTGATCTTAAACATGCATCATCGAACTCTCAGTCGCCCTAGGTAATCTATCCTCTCACAGTTACCAGTTTCGATATAGCGGTGTATAGAGCTACACGATCATCAGATTCTCCGTAGTATCGGGTATCGACATAGTACTCCAGAAGGATGGCGATGCTTGCTAGAAGAGGCAGTGGTGCTCCCTTGAGGCATGCCTGGTCCAGGGCCTAAGACCGAATTGTCCGCATCGTAGAGAAATGTTGAAAATCTTCAATATTCGTCCAACCTGTGCTAGCAAGAAACTCAGATTGATGACTGAGGAGGTCGCATCGTCGGTGATAGACTTATATACTGCAAGGGCGATCAGTTTACATCTGAATGAAAGTCTGCTCTTTCCCACCACAGGCTCACCAGTGAACTTAGTCGAAATTGGTCTTGTGTTTTATGAATTTTAACTGCTGTTGCGGGGACCATAAATTTCATTCACGAATTTGAACTTTCAATTCGTGAAAAACTTCTCTCGGCTTACAAAAATCAAACTCTATATTCGTCCGCTGAATTTGAGATTGATATGATGTAGTAACGATACTGCATCGACTATGGGAATAATAGTTGCTCACAGTAGGCTGGGTTCAGTCAGCTTCTCAGGGAGGTTACCGGTTGGTGAGGGCAGGACCGAGCCAACTAGGAGAGCAACAGAGAGGTGTTGGATGATGTCTCGCAGCTTCTCCAGTGATTCCGCCTGAATTGCCCGCGTACTTCAACACGAAGCCCACTAGTTTCGTCCTAGCCCGCTACCTCTAGCACAGTGGTGATTGGGCATCGCAATGACTGTATCGACTTCATCGTACTGTTTTGATACGGCTCTGCAACACACGACTTGAGAAATTCTCTGAAGATTCGTCCTATCGGCGATCGATACAGAACGTTCTCGTCCTACGCCATCACGACGAGTCCCCCATCAAGATGTTCATTCCCTCCGGAAGCGTGTCCAGTCGGGCGGCCCTCCGGCTCATCAACACCAGCCTAATGCCAGACTGTTCACCATGCTGTTGAGGGCCTCCACGGCCCACTTTGCTTAGTTGGAGCACTCGGTCGTTGAGGTCTCGTAGGATGAGATTTTCCAATCGTCGCATTGTGATTGTCATTATCTCCTCGAGCATCATAACGATGTGTCCAGGCCGTACCAGCTTTTCGATCTCGGCCTGATTCAGCCAGACAACTCTCAGAAAGGACTGTCGCACCCAGTGTTGGAGCAATATATGTTCGCTTTTCTTAGCTGAGTTCAGGAGTTTCCTCACTGACTGTACAAGTTTACATACAAATTCGGGTAGGAATGTACAGAAACCAACAAGGATTTCCCAAAATTTCTTCATAATTTCCATATTGCCATTGACATATGTAGTTGACCATATGCGTATTCTTCCACACTGATCTCACCAGCAGACTATGTTTGTCGTCGTTACTGTTGTTGAGAATAGTGTTTACCACGATGTCTCGAGGATCCAGAGTAGCGTCAGGCCTGATTATTCAACAGTGCTCTAGAGAAAGCTCTTGTGCAGTTACCGATTGTTCCCATACAGGGTTGCTGCTAGTTTCTCTATAAACGGAAAGGTTCTCCAGAGATTGTCTGATTTCGACTGAGGAACTCTACACTTTCAGCAGCATGCTGAACATCGCTTACTAGAGCTTCATCAGGACGCTGTAGACTCTGATCGTTGAGATGCTTGTTTACAGCGAGCGACGCAGCAACCATCTTGAAGTGTTAGCTAGAAAACTATCGCAACTCCGCCGATTTTACCGCATGCAAGAGGTCATTCCCATCTATTGTTCGCCCCACTAGGTGCCAGTAGTTTCCCAACCCGTCAAAAGGCTCTACGTAGGTACTAATCTAGCGATGTTGTGGAGCAATCCGACAGCCCTTATTAGAGTATGTCTGGTCTAGATTGTTGAGGAGGTCAGATGATGACCATGACGAAGCTCTGAATTACGTCACGTTACCGCCGCATTTTCGCTCTTTGTTCGTGATTGAAAAACGCTCTCATTGACAGATACAATCATACCCAACAATCTGTTCTTCAAGGGAAATATTGGTCGGATTATATTCACGATAAGACACAGTACTGATAGCAGGGGATATTATTGGTAGCATCAACAAACTCTACTTCCGGTAGACAAGCAGTAGCACACAGCTCAACTGTACAGCACTCAATGAGGAACATTGAACCACTCGAAGTAGTAGCGACATTCGAATCAGAAATGGAGGTTCGTATTTCTCAGTAGAAGTACAGAGGCGGCTGAAGTAACCACCGCGGTCAACAGGAAGCGAGGCCGCGAGTCGGTGGTAGAATACATCAATTACACCCGTGTATCAGCATTATTGAGTAACGGCTCATGAACATCAGTCTTCACGGTAACACGACGAGGACGAGCACTATTCGACATAGACGATAAAATTGAGTTGGCTGAGTCGTCCATAACGAATGGCTTTCGCTCGAGAGGAGTACCAGCAGACATCGACATCGACATAGGAGCCCGAGACGGATTAACCTGATGGAAAAACCATAAAATACCCAGAGAGGAAGACTGTTACCTTCTCAGTGCCAGCCAGGCCGAACGGGAGACGCACGATATTGTCGTAGACAAGCACACCATAGACGAGTAGGACGAAGCCGGCGAGCTGTATGAGCGAATACGGCGTTAACGGCTCACCGAACGAGTGACCATCACTCATATAGTACCTGTAAAACGCGACAATGAGCAACACGAGGAAATCAAACAACGAAGCGTAAAGCGTGATTTACTACGCAGTGTGGTCAACCACATGTGTTGGTGACAATATGAAAATTGTGGGGAAATCTCGGGAAATTCTTGTTGGTTTCTGTATATTTCTACCCGAATTTCTATACAAGCTTCTATGATAAGTGAAGAAACTCATGAGCTCAGCTGAGGAAAGCGAACACATATTCCAACACTGCTACTAGGGCTGCAATTTCGCAGATTTGTGGTATCACTTTCGACTCGAGAGCTCTGACAGTGACATAGATCTCAGAGTCGCATTATTGACGTAGTAATTTCCGATACCACATTTTCCGGAACTAGCCCTGAATATTACATTATAACAGAACAGAGCCAGATAAGAATAGTCCTAGTAGAATCAAGCATAGTGGTATGGATAGCAGAGGCAGAGTTAGTGACATTAACAGCGCAGATATTATACGCGAAAGTGTTCAAAGCATAGCCGAGGACACCACCAAGGACCACCTTAGAGTCGCCCATCATCGCAAAAGCATCTGAGGCGTTCTCGAAGATCCCACCAACGTCTTTGCCCGGTACATGTTGCATCACTGGTAGTACTATACATGCCATTACAAGGAGGCCCCAGATACCTTCAATGCCTACTAGAGCGAGGGGTGGTACGGCACCGCCCTTCAAAAGGAATTCCTCTACGACGTATTGGGAAGCACACACAACTTGGCTGCCAATGATAAAGCAAATACCGGTAATAACTTCACCAGCAGAAAAGCTCACCGCTTGGGAGTCCCTCGAGAAAATCGAGGAGGACCCGACCAGGCTAAGGGCGATAACACAAATAATTACACCTCCCCAGTGATTTCTGTACATCTTGCGTTTTAGAAATATCACAGACAGAGCTGCAGAGAAAACTATGATGCTTCCCTTGAGCATTTGGAATACAGAAACGGGCGTGTAGACCAAACCGACCGCCTGGAATGAGGTTCCAACCAAGTCGAAACATACCGACATATCGATGCAAATACTCATGTTTGGTTCGACTCCTCCGACTTACAGTAAGTCACTTACTAGGTTCTATGGTGGCTACCCAAAACGGCAAGCAGGTTCTCAGGAAGCAATGGCGATGGACCCACCAAGAACGTGCACTGCAAATTAACGTCAAGGAACTAACCACGGCTTACAATGCACTATCTACACTCGTGTCCTATAAGCTTGACACTGGTCAACAATTCTCCAACATCATCCTCAACGGCGATAATCGTACTGCAAACTCTGCCCTATCGGCTGGAAAGGTCTCCATTTCAGGCAAGCAGTCTACCCTAATGCAACTATAGACCTCATCGGATGAGGACTGATTTTTACTTCGCAATCGTCGACAAATGGATAATCGTAATAAGAAGCCTCGAGCATAAGCCTTTAGTCCTGAGACTACTCCCACAGTTATAGTGTCGTCCTGGGAGCCCCAGGAGTTTTATCAGATGCCAGGTGATGTTGGTGTATGACGACTGTAGGAGACATCAGAGGGAGCAATCTCGTGTCGGACAAACGCACACTATCATAAACTACTAGTTTAAAACTAGTCTCTCCTCTAAAAACGTTGACTATATGTCCAAGAATAAGATGTTGAGGTTAGGCCGCCACGGACTGAACTCATTGCCATTAAAGTCTCAAGGAAAGACTAACTTAGAATAGCTTGGTAATCGGATCTATCTATCTAACAATAGGGATGGCCATAGCTCGGCCCGAGCAAAAGCACGCGTGCCCATCAGGGTCGCACGCAAGTAGAACCCTCTCTGACTAATCATTGTGTCCCCTAATGGAGAATAGTGTACGCTACTTGGTCTTAGCGAAACCGATCTTATTCTCTTGGTAATCGAAGAGCAAGTATCGCCCAGGAAGGACGAGGTTGCCAATGGACCAGGTGTCGATGTCGGACAGCCCGAAGAATAACAAGCAGTGGCGACCATCGAGCCTGATATAGTGCTCTTGAGGGATCTCCAGGGGAACACTCTGTCCACCAGCACCCCTCATGAACAGTGTCAACGGCTGAAGACTTTGGCGATCAGCGCAATTGATCTCAAACACATCATTATAAGGCTGGAACTTGACAGGCTTGGTCGCAGTAGACTGGAGATCTTTCAGAAGTTTATTCCTGTAAGATTCCGACATGAGAATGCCGGTGGCGCCAGTGTCGATCACAGTAGACATAGGCTTCCCAAACTTAACCTCTGCGTTGGCTCCCACTTTCATTCCAATAAGTGCCACTGCCCAGTGATCCTTCGCACTTGGGACGAATACCATCGGCCCAACGTACTTTGTAGGATCTTGCCCGCCGAGGAGGAGCTCCCCGGTGGGCTTGGCGGCAGAGTCGAGATACACAGAGAACATGTTCTTCCCTATGAGCCTCTGAGCCTTCGGTTTGTCCAACAGTTGCTTCATCAGCGGTTCGTAAGGTGCTTCGTAAGGTGCCGGTTCTTTATGAGGGTATCCGAGGCCAATCAGTGACGGAGGGAGCGTAAACTCGAAATTGTAATCCGCCATCAGGCCGAAGTCGATGTTCCGCACCACCTTCCCTCCAAAGAAGAATGCTCCCGAATGCTTAAACAGTGTGACTTCCGTCCCGTCGAGGAAGGAGAAGACTTCTGTTGGCCCAGGAGTGCACTCGGGAAGGCACACATAACATTTGGAAGGAATAGTTTTACACCCACCGGGCTCGACACTTTCGTACCATTTGCGCCAAATGAAGAACGTTAGAGGAGAGCCTGTATCAACCATTTGTCGGAAACTCATAGCGTCAACGGTGATGTCGGCGATGAGAAAAAGATCTGGTCTACCCGGCTCGTATACATCTAGTGAGATTGGCAACCTCAGAATAAGCTCTGCGTGGACTACCGCGAGGAGAAGGAAGCGAGCGAAATAGAATGTCATAGCTTGGTCGAATCCTGAGGGGCCGAGAAAGCTCACACGCATTCTGTTCGTTATCTATCCGCAACTATTGAACACAAATATATCAAAGTTTAGTCTACCACATACAGCGACTCGTAATACTATGACCGTAATACTAGACTAGAAGCAAGTGGTACAGCTCACGTGACTTAGATTCGACCACGCTGATGTGCAACTCGACACTTGTAGCCGATGTGATGTGAAAGAAAGAATACTTATTGAGCGGTTGGCCTGGTTTTAGCTACGGAAAAATCGATCAATTCACGTGTGCAGGCCACCTTGCACATAGCCTTGTGCATCACCTTCACGCACCAATCACAGCAACCTGACGATGTGGTGATCTTTCCCAGATGACTCAGCGAAAGAAAATTGATTTGCGACAGAAATAGCTGATAATAATATCAGGTAACCATGCCATCTATGAATGTGAAAAGACATGCATAGAGAGCATGAAGAGACATTGTCTCCGAGACAGCAATGTTGATCCCGCCTGAATTGCCCGCGTACTTCAACACGGTGTCCACTAGTTTCGTACTAGCCCGCTACCTCTAACACAGTGGTGATTGGGCATCGCAATGACTGTATCGACTTCATCGTACTGTTTTGATACGGCTCTGCAACACAGGACTTGAGGAATTCTCTGAGGATTCGTCCTATCGGCGATCGATACAGAACGTTCTCGTCCTACGCCATCACGACGAGTCCCCCATCAAGGTGCTCATTCCCTCCGGAAGCGTGTCCAGTCGGGCGGCCCTCAGGCTCATCAACACCAGCCTAATGCCAGACTGTTCAGTGAACAGTGTTCACCATGCTGTTGAGGGCCTCCACGGCCCACTTTGCTTAGTTGGAGCACTCGGTCGTTGAGGTCTCGTAGGATGAGATTTTCCAATCGTCGCATTGGGATTGTCATTATCTCCTCGAGCATCATAACGATGTGTCCAGACCGTACCAGCTTTTCGATCTCGGCCTGATTTAGCCAGACAACTCTCAGAAAGGACTGTCGCACCCAGTGTTGGAGGAATATATGTTGAGTTCAAGAGTTTCCTCGCTGATTATACACGTTTACATACGAATTCGGGTAGGAATGTACGGAAACCAACAAGGATTTCCCAGAATTTCTTCATAATTTCCATATTGCCATTGACATATGTAGTTGACCATATGCGTATCCTTCCACACTGATCTCACCAGCAGACTATGTTTGTCGTCGTTGCTGTTGTTGCGAATAGTGTTTACCACGATGTCTCGAGGATCCAGAGTAGCGTCAGACCTGATTATTCAACCGTGCTCTAGAGAAAGCTCTCGTGCAGTTACCGATTGTTCCCATACAGTGTTGCTGCTAGTTTCTCTATAAACGGAAAGGTTCTCCCGAGACTGACTGATTTCAACTGAGGAACTCTAATATTTTCAGCAGCGTCACTGAACATCACTTACTAGAGCTTCATCAGGACACTGTGAATCTTGATCGTTGAGATGCTTGGTTACAGCGAGCGATGCATTAACCATCTTGAAGTGTTAGCTAGGAAACTATCGCAACTCCGCCGATTTTACCGCATGCAAGAGGTCATTCCCATCTATTGTTTACCCCACTAGTTTGAGCAGTAGTTTCCCAACCTGTCAAAAGGCTCTACGTATGTACTAATCTAGCGGTGTTGTGGAGCAATCCGACAGCCCTTATTAGAGTATGTCTGGTCTAGATTGTTGAGGAGGTCAGATGATGACCATAACGAAGCTTTGAATTACGTCACGTTACCGCCGCATTTCCGCTCTTTGTTCATGATTGAAAAACGCTCTCATTGACAGATACAATCATACCCAACAATCTGTTCTTCAAGGGAAATATTGGTCGGATTATATTCACGATAAGACATAGTACTGATAGCAGGGGATATTATTGGTAGCATCAACAAACTCTACTTCCGGTAGACAAGCAGTAGCACACAGCTCAACTGTACAGCACTCAATGAGGAACATTGAACCACTCGAAGTAGTAGCGACATTCGAATCAGAAATGGAGGT